TCATTGCAGCCACTGTGTCAATACATCATGTTGAAGGTCTTTCCCTTTTTCGCTGACCCTCTATTTTACCAAGCCTCATGTCCTTCTGCAAGGACCGTTCCCTTCTAATAACAGGACCAAATCATGTGAGAGGAAGTCTGGCAGTTCTCACTTCTAAGGAGCATTCTAGTTACATTTCTTCCAGGACAGATTTGCTCATTCTTCTGGCAGTATATGGATTTTCAATATTCTTCACCAACATCTTCATTCAAAGGGATCAGTTCTTCTTGTGGAGTACCTCTTAATAAAAAAGGAGTGTGGTGAGACCTTTCTGATGGAATTTCCAGGAACATTATATTTTGTATATTAAAATAAAATTAATATTTTATTAATTCCAGCTTTAGAAATTACTTCCATTCCTTTCCAACAATTCCATCTCATGCTAGCCTTTATTCCTGGAATCTGTTGTAGGCTAGTCAGAGCATGACTGAGGGATTCTGTAGTTCAGTTGCTCTATGTACCCCCAACAATGGGGCCTTCTTGCAATTTCTTAGGCAACTCTGTTCCAGTGATCATGAGACTAACTTCATAAAGATATCTAAATGATGTGATGATACTTGAAAGCACCAAAGAAGTCCCTTCACTCCCTCTCCACAGTAAACCCCCATCAACTACTTAACTGAACCTAAAAATTCTACAACAAAACAAATTCTTTGGATATAAGGCCCACAGATCTTGAATTGAAATAAGTGAAGTATATTATATATATTTCAACAGCTATTTTTTAAACCAATATTTTCCAGACCTTAAAAAAAAGAGAGAAAGAGAGAGAGAGAAGACAAAGTAATTGAATAAAACATGGGGGTTTCAAAATCACTAAGGAGGGAGAGATCAGGAGTAGACAGTAATTGGTCTTGAGTGAATATATAAATGAATGAATGAATGAGTGCATGGATATGAATGGAGAAAGTTGAAAGAAAGAAAGAAAAGAAAGAAGGAAGGAAGGAAGACAGTTTCACAGTGCTGCCCAGGCCAACCAGGCTGAATGTTCAGTCATAATGAAACATAAACTTTTTATCCAATGAAATGTCAGGCACAGAGTTACTCTTTAAATATTTATTGAATGGATAAATGAATAAGAAAGCAATAGAATAAATTAGGAAATTGCATCAGTGATGAGAAATAAAAGTAGGACATGAGGTGAGGGTCTATTTACCAAAAACTGTTGACCATATTCAAACAGTAAATATGCGTCTGCTCCATGTTAGGCAATATGGAAGATGGTATGCATGCATTGTAGAAAGAGGGACAGACATTAATCAAGTAACCACAAATATTAAATAGTGGTGGGTGCTTTGAAGGGAAAACTTTACACTTCCACAGATAGTGACCAATAAAGGGAGTTAGAAGCAGGAGGGCAGGGAAACTTGGGACCTCCTTTTGTGCACACATACATTCTCATAATGAAAACTGTTGTAGTTTCCTTTTATTTCTGCATGTGTCTATAATCTCAAATTTGAGAAAAAATAATCTTTGAGATGATGAACTTTTTCCTTCAAGGTGTTCAATGGTGATCTGAATAAGCACCAAAGATTCTTATACACAAAAAGATTTTCCAAGCTCATTTGAGTGGGGCATTCATGGATAGGCCAAGCAAGCAACTTTGCAGCTATGGTAACATATGTATAAGATTGCTAACACTGTGGCAGAAATTCCCATAAGCAGCTGTTTCTTAGGAGCAAGCCATTTCTCAAGTGTGTTTCTCAAAGCTGTAGCTCTAGGTTATTAATATATTACTTGAAGACAAAAGAAAAGGGGAAAATAAGGTCAGATAAATTTGGGAAATGCAAAATCATGCAGGTTGTCTTTCTGTAGGACTTTGTAGAGCTTTTAATAGGCTAACATCCTTGTAAATCTTCAAGAAGATGTTCTCGAAGTTAATGGCCACAGCGCTTTTTTCTTAAAGAGTCCCTCTAGAAACTAAATTCCTATGAAACTCACTTTTGGGAATTCTGGAAATACAAATGATTTTGTCTGGGATAGAGTTTAGAATAAGGGCAAGATATAACCCATTAGTGTTTATAATTGTTCTAGTAAATTCAATTAATCAAATTATCTGCCTTTTTTGTGAATCACTCTGAGGCAACAGACCCTTAGACAAATCAATTTCATTAGAAGAAAGGAGGAAAAGTACAGGTGTAGGAAAAGCTCCAATGTAGTGTTGATCTTGGAATGCCTGGAGGTTGTCTGCACAAGCACTAAGGGTGAAGGGTAGGGATAGCCAAAGATGTGGTTGAATATTGATCCTACCACTAACACACAAAGTCTTCCCTTTTCCATTTTGCTTGTTCTTCCATATGTGGATGGCTTGAAACAGTTTAAAAGTTATTTATCACAGTTTACACAGTGATAAATTTATCACAGTATTACAGTGAGTAATTTACCCACTTCCAGATCATTTAGTCCTTTTCTCCAAAGTTCTAAATAGTCTCACTGCTAATCATCCAAAATCTAGTACAAAGGAAGGTGCACAAATCCCACCTATGTGAAAATTATAAATCAAGCTAAGAAAATGCTAGATATAATATATTCTATCCTCTTATCTGGATAAATATACCTACATAATCACTAGGACACCAGCTTTGAATTTTGAATTTTCAGATAGCTTGGAGCTCTGCCCAGGGAGTCAGCCTCTGGCCCCGCCCCTACCTACCTCCAGCTCTGTCTTGCACAGTGAAGGGTCTCCCACACAAACGTGTGGGAGCTCATACAGCCCATCTCTGTCAACGCTTTCTGCTAACAATGCCCCTTAGACTCATTGTGCACCCTAAGACGTCTACTCACAAGAGGCAGTACCTGAGGAATAGGCCTTCATGGGTCCAGGAAACTCCCTCTGAGCTCTTTGGGCAGCAAATTCCAAGGTAACCTGATGACGGTACAGACTGTCAGCAGGCCCATCGCCTGACCCTCCTAGTCCTGTGAGAAGGGTACAGCTGGAGGAAGGCCAGGACTAGGCAGGTCTCAGGTGGGTCTAGGAGCATTTGGAATTGAGAATAAAGCCTCTGTGAAAATGACCCTTAAAAAGTTGCAGTCTTTGCAGCTATGGGATTGGGGACATTTCTTATTTGCATTTAGCTACTTCTGAAAGTCTCTGGTCAACTTTTCTTCTTGTTCTCCAAGGTAAGATTATTTTCCCTTTGGCATTACAAGGGAAACTAGATCAGCTGTGTGGAAAACCAAAAACGATGTATTTTATCAACTTCAAACCAACCCCAAGGCTTTCAATCACACTGCATTAAATAATAGAAGTCTTTTTAATTGAATTTGTTTGTGTGTAGCATGTGCTGGGTGACATTATGTCAATGTCTTGCTCTAAGCAGCAAAACGTTCTTCATAAAAGCATTAAGATCCAGAGTATCATTCTGTAGGGAAGAAGCACAGAACTGCAGCAGCTTGAAACCACATAAAAACGGTGCTTCTGAAGTGTGATTATAAAAACACATTGCAACAAACCAGGGGGAAATATTTAGAATTATAGAATGAAGCAACAACAACAAAAAAAAAGAAGCAGAAGAAAAGAGAGGAAGGAGGGAGGAAGAGAGGGGAAAAAACGGAGGAAGGAAAATGACTTCTTGTATTTAAAAAAAAAAAAAACTGCAGTCACGGAGTCAGCTCCAACTCATGGTGAGCCCATGGCTGTCAAAGTAGAGTTGTACTCCACAGACTTTACAATGGCTGGTTTTTTGGAGATAGATTGCCAGACCTTTCTTCCAAGGTACCTCTGGGTGAGCTCCAACCCCCAACCTTTTGATTGGCTGCCAAGTGTGCTAACCTTACCCATTTGTACCACCCATAATGTTTGATTATAATGTCCAAAGAATCAAAACAATAATGTTTTTGGTTTCCTAGCATTCCCTCTGCAAGCTGATCTATATATTCATTTTCCCTTAGCTGCTAGCCTTTAAATGTGGGATTTTTAATGGGCCAACCCAATAACTACGGCTGCAGTGACACATGGTTGTGTTCTTTACCCCAAGGATTCTGGAGCTCCAGCAGAATGGTGACATGGATATCTTGAAGCACAAATGGTGGCCTAAGAATGGCCAGTGTGACCTGTACTCCTCAGTGGACACAAAGCAGAAAGGAGGTGCCCTGGACATAAAGAGCTTTGCAGGAGTTTTTTGTATCCTGGCTGCTGGAATTGTCCTCTCCTGCTTTATAGCCATGCTGGAGACCTGGTGGAACAAGAGGAAGGGCTCCCGAGTCCCATCAAAAGAGGTACTTGATTGAGAGCTTCTTCTCTATGTTGAACCAACAAACAGGACTGTATTTCGAGGAAGAGGATAATGGGCTGGGGGTGGTTCATGGGGAAATGTTTCTTCTTTCTTTGAAGATTGAAAATAAATTTTTGAAATGTGAACATTGATAAGACAAATACTAATGTTCATTTTAGGACATCTAGATAAATGAAGAGGATACTATGGTTTTCTAAAGACTGACAATTTCACATACTATCCAGGGCCTGGAAATTCTCCCAGATTTTAGGATAGATTTTAACCAATAATTTTTTAAAAGGCTCTAATCCCCTTGACCAATGCACAAAGATACTTACCATTTTATTTCAATTACTTGTTTGCCTGTAGATTAATTTTCTGTGTCTCTAAGACTGGTACCTAAGAAATGCAATACTGAAGTAAAAATGACTAGAATTTTCTCTTCTCCACCAGTGTCTATTTCCTTCCATCTACATGTATGTCCAATAGAAGTGATCTGTGTTTGGCTCTTCTATGGCCCAAGATTACCAAACCCTCATTGTAGAATCATCCAGAATTCAATGTTAGTCTTTTATTCTGGACTCAGCTTAACTCTAGAGCCATATTTTTTTTTTTTCAAGTGCTTTGACAGAATAACTGCAAAATTACACATAATATCTCTTTTAAAGAAGCATGTTCCTTGCTTTCATCAAAAAATGTGTGATCTATAAATTATCAGAGAAAATCTAAAGTTCAGCTACTTGATTCATTTGTCTATTTCCACTAGAGCAAAAAAGTGACAATATTTTGCATAACAAAATCATACCACTAAAACTTTATAAATTGAAATGAAAGAAGAACCTGAATTTGTTGAGTGATTTGATTTGTTGGGTAGTTTCAAAGAAGGACAGTTTTAATACTCACTGTAACTTGAACTTGAGGTAGCTAACTGATGCCAGCCAAGATCCTCAGAGGAACTGCTCTAACGCATAAATCAAAATGACTTCTCTTTTGCATATGAATTTTTGCATGCTAATGTGTTCTTTCAAACACTGTTTCTAAAGTAACTAAGCATACCTCCCTACCACCTTATATTCAAAATTGTTCAGCACTACTTATAAGGAAAAGCTTGACTTAGCAAAGATAAATTTTTGCCTTTTACCTGTTTGAATGATCACAAATTCTAAATTGGTGGGGTATGAGTTAAAAATTAATCAAGTTTTATTGTAGTGTTTGTTTTGTGGAATAAACTTCAAGTATCTATGTTGACAATGATTCAATGCAAAAGACCATATTAATGCAACATTATAGCTAAGACTTTATATTCTCAAAATCTCTGAAAATTAAGGACTCCCCAAGCTCCTTATATTTTGAATTACTATATATGATATTAAATGCTTATATTATTATATCTATTGATAGATGACTGCACTACAGTTGCTGTGGGAACCATAAAATTATATATCTCAACCCTCTAAAGTCTCAGTGATAATATTGCATTAATGGATTTTTTTATTGGATTTTGAAATGAGAAAGAAGGGAAAACAGTGATGCACATCAAAATATTTTCACTGAGGAGCACTATAATAGCACAATGAAAAAAATACATACTCCATTCTGTAATGACAGCTAATCCAAATCCCAGGAAGAAGTATTTTCTCCTCTTATAATTAACAGATGTTTTTAAATCCTCATAAATTTAATTTATTGTGCTTAGCTATAAATAAGACTGATAACAAGGAAAATTTTATTTTGTGTGGGTTTTATTTTCCAAACATTGGGCTTTAGTGCTTTTTTTGGTGAAAAACCTAAGAGATTTATGAATTGGTTTCAACCAAAAAAAAAAGTGAGATTTTATTCCTTTTTTGTTTATTCAGCTCCTTTCTTACCGAGATATCATTGACATAGTTGAAAGTATCTTTGCTTTAGAGGCCATTTAACATAAATCAGGTCATAAACTAAAGTTGTCACCCATATATCAAGACTTTAAGAGGTCTCTAATAGTCCTGCTGACCTCACAAAATTGTCTCATGAAGATGCTGGATGGCTAGAGTGTAGGAAATTCCACCATTAGAAGTTGATTCTTTTGTGTTGAGCCTTATCCTCTCTGAACAATCTCAGTTATCTCTGCCCTTTGAAAGAATGAATGGTGGAAAGGAACAAAAATCTAACTTGGAATGAGACACCCTGGAAAAGGAAGAAGCGTGTGTAAAGAAGTTGGGGTCATGGGGACGGGTGTGAGTTGTTCCAACTATACTTTTTCTTTTTAAATTTTTCCTAGGCCTGTCCTTGCTCTTCTAGAGCAATAGTCACCCATCGACTGCTCCCATATCTTTGTAGTTGCATGTGGTGTGTGCTCATTTTAAAACTTTTACTGAAAGAAAACTATTATAGAAAACCTCGAGGACAGGGATCATCTTAGAATCGTATTGGTACCCCCAGAACATAACACAGTGCCTGGCTCATATTAGGTGCTCAATAAATATTTGTTAAATGAATAAACCCAAAAGTTCAGTTAATTACATATCATGTTTGCTGAACTACTTTTTTTTTTTTTTTAACCATGGGAGCTAGTACTGATGAGAACCTTATCTTCTTTTTCTTCATCTCCAGGATGACAAGGAAATTGACCTGGAGCACCTCCATAGACGTGTAAATAGCTTGTGCACAGATGACGACAGCCCCCATAAACAGTTTTCCACCTCGTCAATTGACTTGACCCCTCTGGACATTGACACTTTGCCAACACGACAAGCACTGGAGCAAATCAGTGATTTCAGGAACACTCATATTACCACAACAACCTTTATCCCAGAGCAGATCCAGACTCTTAGCCGCACACTGTCAGCTAAAGCTGCCTCTGGTTTCGCTTTTGGCAACGTGCCTGAGCACCGAACTGGCCCTTTTAGGCACAGGGCACCTAATGGGGGCTTTTTCAGGAGTCCTATAAAAACAATGTCATCTATTCCTTATCAACCAACTCCTACTCTGGGGCTCAATCTGGGTAATGACCCAGACCGAGGCACCTCCATATGAGCATCAAACAAAATCTCTTCACTGTTTCTTTTTTAGGACTCCCTTTGCAAGGAGCAACTGTAATATTGTGGGACTAACATGGATGTAACGTTTAAAAAAAAAAATCAGGATTATTAGTAACAATTCTAGTTCTTTCTCTCCAGCTTCTCCTTCCTCTCTCTCCTCTATTTCTTTCTCTCTTTTTTTCCTTTTCTTCCCGTACATTTCCCTCTACTTTTTGTCATTATTCAACTTGTTCCCCCAGAATATAGTATATTAGAATCCTATTAGTCCGCTTTTCATATACTGTACTTCAAGTATAGGAAATGTGCACTGAGTATACTAAAAGTATATGCAGGATTAATTTTACATAAAGGCCTCTTACATAACGTTTCTCTATTTTTAAAAATATAATTGCAATAACTTCAGTCTTTTTACATTCTTCTGCTGCATCCATACAAAGCTCCACTGCTGTTGAGTGTCCTTTAACTGTGGACCAAAGGCAACCCCTGCAGTGTTTATAAAACAATTCAAATACCATTCAGGCCACATAATATGAGAATGCAATTTTGTAGGATTACAAAAAAAGCCATTAATATGCCAGTCAAGACTACAGTTAAAACTACTCTTGCACTGCAACAGTGCATATGACCTTTATGTGATTGTACAGTATTAAAAGTTTTTTCTTATGTACAGTAAACTTTATCATATGGCAGAAGCCTTGACTGTGTTAAATAAATTAGTATCTCACATATATATATATATATACATATATATGCACCTATATAATGTGTATATATATAAAAAGGCGGCCATTGCTATTGCAATTCATTTAATAAAGCTTTAGTTAAAAAAATAATACAATATTGTATACAGGAAATATGTATAGTGCAGGGCGTCTTTTCAGTTAGAAAAGGCAGGTTGCTTTAATGTTATTCTGACGCACATTGTTTGCCAACAGAGAATATTTTATACTTTTGTTATTAAAACATCCAGGGCGATTTAATATTTGTTCCTAGATGTAACTCATTTGAATAGGTTTTGCGTTTGTTATTCAGCAGTGTATAAGGCTAACCTTGATACTTTTACTCTTAATTAATTATCTAAATGTGAAATGCTATTAGCTGAACCACACCCACCACAGCACATAGAGCTCTATAGGAGTTTAAGCATAGATCATTGAAGGTTAATAAAATTCTCTTCCAAAGAAGTAAGCCAATCAATACAATAACTGTAGTGGGGAAGGGGAGCCCTTAAGAAATACTGATGTGGCCTTAATTACTTTCATATGTTATCCTAAAGAAGAAAACACAATTACCATACTGGGCTCTCAACTTAACCCCCTTATTTTAATTCAGTTCTATTTGGAGGAGTTATGTATTTTTTACATTAGTGCCAAGTGTATAGGAGGATGACAGCAAAAATGGTGCCTGTTTGTGCACAGCCCTTTTAAAGTAGCTTTCATACCTGTTAGAAATGTAGAATGAACTTTGTTTGTAATCCTTCAATTAAAATGTGGTTAAGTAGGAAGCGAGAACTTATCCTGTGTTTTTATGCAGTCATACACTTATTTTAATCTAATTCATTCCGTGGCTAGGATTGATATAGGAATCAACCTATGTGATTTGCTTTAGGAGAAATTTTAAAAGGTATATTCTTAAGGTATATTATATTTTGATGCTAATTCTGTTCTGGGGAGCATCTTGTACTGTCACTGTTTTTGTACTAAATCTTCAAATATTGTCTACTGTGTAAGGCAGAAAAATTTCTTATCATGCAAAAACCATTTTGTTTCCAGGGTAACAAGTACCTAAGTGCATGCACAACTTGTTTTCCCTTGTAACATTCATGATCTCATTCTCTACTCTGATTTAAAAAAAAAAAAAAAAAAAATCTTTACAACAAGCTATATAGGGACATACCAGATGTTGCAGTGATTTTAGCTATCAACGAACTGTTAACCATGTACAATATTTAAAATAGGCCTATTTTGATGTATTGCCTATTATACAAATACACAAAACACTTTTTGGAGGCCTCAGTTATGAGTGGCAGAGCTTTCTGTGTATAATTTGTCTAAATAATTTGTCTAATAAAAATGTTTTCTAAACTTGCTCTCATACTATTGAAGTCTTAACTGTCAAATTTGAAAATGCTTACTGTCTCACAGATCGAGCTGATTTTTTCTGGAAGTTTATCTTGAGTTCGTTAAAGCATAAAACACATTAAGTTTTATCAGCAGAACTATGCCACAATGAGTGATATCAACCGATGTCCTAAGCCAATGAAAGATCGGCTTTTTGCTATTTGGGACTATTTGAAACAATGTATTTTATTTCCTTCTTGAAAGGGTCTGTGAGCACTTTTGGGGAGATATTTAGCCTATTTCATGTAAACAATGCAACCGTTATGATAATAGAAGGATAAAGGTTTGTTACAAAAAAAAACAAGAAGAAGGATATTAAGGGTAATTATGAAACAGGATTTCTTTATTAATAATTGCTTTACTTTCAGAGTAGTCATCATACTGATCTATTAATTTGGAAACTAATTTGGACTCTAAGATTATTTATATTAAAGAGTTATTTTCTGCATATGAACAAGAATGCAGAACAATTAAATTCTTCTAACATTTAAGTTTCCCAATGGGTATAAATTTGAAAATATATTCCATTTAGAGTAAAATTTCTACTGTTCTAAAATTCCAGAAGAAATCATTCTTAAAATGTTGAAGGTAGGATGAACTTTCGAGTTCTAGATCATCTTCCTCATTTTACAAAGAAAGGGATAATAAGATGCTGTGACTTACCCAAATGTTTGCCAATCGGATCTTTTCTTTTTTATTCATGCCATATTTTAGGCACAGTCATGCAGACCCTTGTGGAAAGCAAGCGTTGTAAGGATGATTCATCTATAATGCCTTTACCTCATCTCCTCACCAAACCTAAGCAGCAACTCTCTAGACACGTCCTTGTTTGGGAGCACATGAATGCTCTAACTCAACTACTCTCTTTACAGATGAAGAAATGAACACCTCAAGTTACTTACCCAAGATCATAGAGATAGCTAGTGCCCAAATTAAAGCTGGAAACTGCCTCTGTTGTTGTTGTTGTTATGTGCCATCGAGTCAAACCTGACTCATAGGGACCCCTCCTTGGGTTTCCAAGGCAGTATCACTACGGAAGTAGGATTGCCCAACCTTCCTTCCGAGGAGTGGCTGGTGGGTTTGAACCGCCAGCCATCCGGTTAAACTGCCTCTACCTGGTGCTAATTCCTTTAGCTCATTGTCTGCCCCAGTTTGCACCACTACATCAACATTGCCATTTCAACACAGACGTAAAATACATATAGCCATGTACTTCTATTTCACTTAAATATCCAATTGATTCTGATGGTTAATGATAAAGCTATTTGGTTATGACTTTCACCACATCATAACTTATATGTAGGTTTTGGTTTCATCATATATATTTCTAAAACTTTAAAACCTCATCTTTTCTTCTTATATCTCAAACTACAAGCAATTTGTCATTTTCTTTATGATGTTCCTTTTGCATCTTGGGATTTGTTGTTCATCAATTAAAAGTAGTTAATAAAACACAGATGAAAAGGTCCATTTTATCATATATGATATTCTGAGTCATGCAATTGGAATTATTATCATTCTGTAACAATTATTACTTTTATATTATATATAATCATTACTTCTAAAGCATGACAATTTGGTAAATTTTATTATTATTATTATTATTATTATATAATCAGAATTTTGGAGTGGTAAAGTATTATAGATTTTGAGTATAATATATATAAGGCAGACAAGGGTAAGAGCATACTTGCTCATAAACATGGGTTTTATCTTTAAATATACATCTCTTAATAATTGATTAAATATAGTGCGCTCACTAAAAAGTAACTTCTTCCTAAAATATTTTTATTCCTAAAAATAAATCCTACAGCCAATCCTTGTGCCCAAATATTAATAGATGGATGGAAATTGGAGCCCTAATCATTATTTCAGGAGCTCTGGTGGCATAATGCTTAAGGCATTTGACTGCTAACCAGAAGGCTGACGTTTCAAACCCAACAGCCATTCCTGAGAGGGAAGGTTGAGCAATCTACTTCTGTAGTGATACCGCCTCGGAAACCCAAGTAGGGGTCGCTATGAGTCGGATCGGACTCGATGGCAGTAACTAATCATTATTTCAAAAAATATTTAGTAGACATTCTCTCATGATGGAGCATATGAAATAGTGAAAATGAGTCACTTAACTTTGAAAAATTAAGAAATAAATTTTCTTAGATTCGATAGATTTAATTCAATTCTATTCATCTTTACTGAGAACCTACTATGTGAAAATCACTGTGCTAAGTAGTTATACCAAAAAAGAAAAAGAAAATGAAATCACAAGCCAAACCCATTGCCATCGACTTGATTCTTATTCATAGGAACTCTGCAGGACACTTAGAACTACACTCACCGAGTTTCCAAGGCCAAATATCTTTAAGGAAGCAGAAGCAGACTGCCATACCTTTTTCCCATGGAGTGACTGGTGGATTTGAACCACCAACCTTTGGTTAGCAGCAGAGTGCTTAACCACTGCACCACACAGGTTCCCCCTAAGTAGTTATACATGACATATATATATATATATATATATATATATACATATATATATAGGAACAGATCTGAATATGTCTTACCACCCCAACTCTGTCCTTAACCCATACTGAAATACAGAACACAAAAGATGCCTTCCAGACTTTCTCAGGTGGCAGAATGAGTCACCTCAAACCAGTATAGACATTTTCGTGCCTGGACAACTCAACTGACTGGAATAAGCTGTCCTGAAAATTTTCAAAGGCTAAAACTCGACGGCGCACAACAACAACAACAACAAAATTTAGACTCTCTTAGGTTTGAACCTCCACCACAAAGGAGACTTGAGAATTTCCCAAACTGCCAGGACACACTGGTTTTCACTGTCAGAAAAGTGAAAACTACCATAAGCCACAAGCATATTACAAACGTCATTTTTATCAATACCTGCATACCATTTAGGGACTGACTGCTACCCTCAGATATCTACATGAGAATGATACATAAAATGGTATCTCATTTTCTATCCCTGCAGGACTAGTGAGGGTAGTTAGATCTCTTCAACATTTCAAACAACTTACTTCAAAGGATCATCCACAGTAAATCTTATTCAGGGTCTTTTTTATATATTGAAACTATGGCAGCTAGACCTCCTAGCCACTTTTCCTGTCATCTAAGGCACAATAGAATGCCCCCTACTAGCCCAATGAATGGAAGTGTTTTTTTACAGGCTGCCCTCCACCTACACACACACACACACACACACATTAAAAAAAAAAAAAAAAAAAAAACCTACCGTCAAGTTGATTCCAGCTCATAGAGACCCCCGTTGGGTTTCTAAGTCTGTAAATCTTTACAGAAGTAGATTGCCTCATGTTCCTTCCATGTAGTGGCTGGTGGGTTTGAACTGCCAACCTTCTGGTTAGTACCACTCCACATAGTCCTCCAGAATAGAAGCTTCATGGTTTCACTCCGTTTTGTAGTGATGTTCAGCCTTGAACAGGAATAGAATTCGAAACTGAAGGAGCTGTCTCTTATTTCCCTGCTTGAATTTCCCAAATTCTTATTTTTTTAATAGCATTTATATGTTTTCTTCCCATGTGATATTAATGACAAAGCAAAAACAATTCCAACCTGAGAACTTTTTTTTCCATATCTAAACGTTCTATCATGATTTGGTATTACACACAATTTAGGGCCAAGTATCATCATTTGACCAATTTTGCACATTTCATAGCATTCTTTCAGAGTGGAGAAGAGAAACTCCACTCTGGCTGTGGTGTGTGGACACATTATCTACCTTCAACTACACATATTTTTGTCTGGTCTTTGTGAGGACTGAGGACCTGGCTTCCTTTTTAAGAAATTCTACAAGTTCCCATCTTGAAGTGGCAGGGTGAGAGCTCCAGGTATTTGTGACGTGATAGAAGATTCACAAAATTTTCAGGACAACAGTAGTTCTCATTAATTAAAAATAAATTAAACTTTCATAACAGCTGCTTTAGAAGGAGAAAACATATGTCACAAAATCAAGGAATGACACAATGCCAGAACTAGAAAAGAGATGGGAAGCATTGCTTACCTGCCACAAGATTTGAAGTATGAGTAGAAGGCAAATATTAATTGGCCAAATCATTACATTTTATTTTTAAGTTGGACTACAGAAAATGTTTAATAATTAAGTAACCTATATCTGTGGCTATTTGAAATTTTTAAAAATTGAACATTGAGTATTAGTAGTATTTTTTAAAGCCCATATAGGTACACATATGCAAATACAA